AAAGAAAAGTAACATTTAAAACTGTTCACTTAGATAAACTGGGTGGCTTTATAATGAAAGTTACAGTAGATGTGAAAGCACTTTTATAGTGTGAGTCAGAAGCAGAACTGGCATTCGGGTCTCTTTGCTGCCCTTAAATCTTAAGGAGGACAGGATTGGACAGAGAGGCAGGTAGGAAGCTTTTTTCCAATGGCTTCTTTGCAAAAAACCAGTTAGAACCTCTGATTGCCATGTTGAAAGGCATTCTCTGAACCAGACTTGGCTGCTAACTCAGACCAGGCAAAGGACACGGTGATGGGAAATGCTGGGGAGAGGCATGGAGAGGTAGAGAGGAATTAGGCTGACTTACCTGTGCACTTTTTTCTGGGACAGGTGGGTTGTTCTCAGTTACTAAAGGAGTCTGAGAAGCCACTACAGACTGGACTCCCAACAGGGCTGAGTGAAAGTCAGTCGAGTGGCCCCTTGGGAGGGGACAGCCCTTCTGCCGGTGAGTGTTTAGAGGCCCATCTGAGGGCAGCAGCCTGTAAAGATGTGTCTGAAGACCCAGTGTAAAATAGTAACTGTTCACTTAAAGTAGGAGCTAGGTCTTTATCTATACACAGAAACTGTATTATACTTCAGAGTAGGCCTTGAGTTTGATCTTTAGCACTGTTAAAAGCTATAAAATAACTTTTAGGATATTTATACTTTTTTTCCCTTTCTCAGTACTGGGGATGGGACCTAAGACCTCATGCTTGTTAGGCAAATGCTTTTTTACTGTGCTATATCCTGAGCCTACAACATGACATTTAAGTTCTTAATTTCCTGTTCTCCTTATTCTAGATTATATAATCTATATATACAAACCCAATCACTATTTGAAATACAAACTCTATCACTATTTGAAAATTTCATTTTTGCCCCCTTTGAGATTTTTGACAGTCCTGATATATATTTGATTGGCTTCAAGCTCATGGCAGGTCTCCTGTTTCAGCCTCCTAACTGCTGAGAGCATAGGCGTGCACCACCACACTCCAGTTCCCTCATGCTTTTGAACTCTGTGAGAATGGGATCTTAAATCTTTCTAGACATTAGTGATTAGTCCCTCTTTCCTATTCAAAAGTGGAATCATAATCCGAAGTCTGAATTAAGTAAGGGTAAAATTAGTAAGACATCTAGCATGGAAAATTTTTTTTTTCTTTTTTTTTTTTCCGGTACCAGGGACCGAACTTACGACCACCTGCTTGCAAGTGCTTATGCTTGCAGGTGCTTATGCCACTGAGCTAAATCCCCAGCCCCTATCAGGGAAATTGAGTTGCAGTTAATAAGACCTTAAAGACTTACAAGTCTTCGAGGTGCTGGGTTTATTTTTCACCGAGGCTGTGTGGTAGAAAGGAAAAGACCCTGACAAAGACTCATCTAGCTGGGGCACAGCAGTAACTCCCAGTGACTCCAGTAACCCTTTGCTTTTCAGATTTAGATAAGAAGGCAAACCTCCTGAAGTGCGAGTACTGTGGGAAGTACGCCCCTGCAGAGCAGTTCCGAGGCTCTAAGAGGTTCTGCTCTATGACTTGTGCCAAGAGGTACTATGGGCACTATCTGTCTCCCTCAGCACTTATTTCTCCACTGAAGTTACAGCTTTGGTCCTGGGCCATCTGTCTGAAACGGCATGTTTTCCTCTTTGCTTCCCCAAATCCACTCCTAAAATACTGGTTCATGTTTAGGCACAGTGGTGATTGGTCTCTTCTAGCACCCTGACATCACGTCAATTCCCTGACTGGCAGGTACAATGTGAGCTGTAGCCACCAGTTTCGGCTCAAGAGGAAAAAAATGAAGGAGTTTCAAGAAGCCAACTATGCTCGAGTTCGTAGGCGTGGGCCTCGCCGTAGCTCCTCTGATATCGCCCGAGCTAAGATCCAGGGCAAGCGCCACCGGGTGAGCTGCTGCTGCACAGCTGGTCTCCTTTAAAAAGGGGTTGGTGGGGCAACTCCTTTGCCCAGATACAATGACATGAGACTGTAACTTGGGTTTGTATCAGTTGCATTTCTGGCCTATTTTTGTTTCCTATCACCTGACTTCTGGTTTGTGTGTTCATTAATCCTTACTTTCTGTGCTTGAGATAGTACAAGAGTAGAATGAAGGAAATGAGAAAGTTCATATTGGAGAGGCACTTGAGGTTAGAGTTTGGGCAAATGAAATACAGACTACTTGACCAGTGGTATTTGTGGTTTGTCTTCTTTGCTTAACCTAGGGTGAACGGAGAGTAGAGAACTCATGAAACTGTTAACTCATGACCTCTGATTTGCTGTTTTCTCTGTAGGGTCAAGAGGATTCCAGCCGGGGTTCAGATAACTCCAGTTACGATGAAGCACTGTCCCCTACATCTCCTGGGCCATTGTCAGTACGAGCTGGGCATGGAGAACGTGACCTAGGGAGTACCATTGCAGCGCCACCCACACCGGAATTACACGGCATAAACCCTGTGTTCTTGTCCAGTAATCCAAGTCGCTGGAGTGTAGAGGAGGTGTATGAGTTCATAGCTTCTCTCCAAGGTACTGAGGGGCTCTCCTGTGGGACCCAGGTGTCGCTGTTGTCAGGTCATTCCACAGGGGCCTTTTTGAGTGAGAACACAACAGAAGGGGAAGCATTTGGGATCTGAGTATGGGACAAAGGCTCTTCCTGTTAGTTACTCAAGTTGCTTGCTCATGGCTTGGCTTTCTAATTGCCTTCTGGGTTGACTTTCTTTTTACCATGTTAGCAATTCTGTAGTGCTTCTCTCCTCATCACTGATTTTTGGATTTTTTGGTGTGATTAACTGTGATCCCTACCAGGAACTTTTTCTCCAAAGGAGGAGGGAAACTAAGGAACCACTGTTGACTCATCCTTTTTTTTTTTATCATCAGTACCAGGGATCTAACTCATAACCACCTGCTTGCAAGGCAGGCTTGCAGGTTCAGGTGTAGCCTAGGCAATGTAGGGAGACTATCTCAAAATATGTTATGTACATGTATTAACTCCCCAGAGTGAGTACGTGTACTTAAAAAGGGGGCGGGGTGGGGTGCAAAACTCCTGGGTCTAATCCCTACTACCTCAAAAAACAAAACAAACCAAACCCAAAACCCTTCTTCATGGGTGTTTTGAGACAAGATCTGCGTGTAGTTCAGGGTAGCCTCAGACTTACAGCCATCCTTCTCTGTCAGCCTCCCAGGTGCTGTGATTATAGGTTTGTGGCATCATGCCTGACTCTTGCAAAGGCTCTTTTAATCTTTTCCCACTATGAAAGAAAATATATATACATTTTTGCTGTCTTCTCCACTTGAATGATTTTGTGGTTAATGTAGATCTTCCTCTTAGTTTTGTGGTAATGGGGATTAAATCAAGGGCCTTCTCTGAGCTATATCTCCTACCCTCTGAAACTGAGACAAGGTCTTGCTGAGTCACTGAGTAATACTAGGCTGGGCTTCAATTTGCTGTCTTCCTGCCTTCGCCAAAGTGTGGGATTATAGGCCTGCACCATGTCTGGCTAGCTCTTCCTTTCTTGATCTTTTTAAGTAGTAGCTAGTAGCTCTAATTCCATTTGCTGCCAGAACCCATTATCTCAAGCAGGTGTGGTGGTGCATACCTGAAATCCTAGTAATCTGGGAGCCTATGGCAAGAGGACCACAAGTTTAAGCAATTTAGACACTTAGTGAGACCCTGTCTGGAGATGTAGCTCAGTGCAGAGGGCCCATGTTCAATCCCCAGCATCATCATCAGCAACAAAACTCCCTAAAAGCCTGCCATCTCATCCCTTTGTGTAACTGAATTTAGGGCAAATGATTGGGTTAATCATTGCTTAGCTTGCTGCTTTACCTTTAGTTCCTCTTACCTCTGGTGCTTCTGTGCAGTTTCTCATACATGTTCTCCCTTTGTCTTTCTAGGCTGCCAAGAGATCGCAGAGGAGTTCCGTTCCCAGGAGATTGATGGACAGGCCCTTTTATTACTTAAAGAAGAACATCTTATGAGTGCCATGAATATCAAATTGGGTCCTGCCCTTAAGATCTGTGCCAAGATAAATGTCCTCAAGGACACCTAAGGTGGCCCTCTTTGATAAAGCAAGCTGAAGATGGACACTCCCTATTGTCCTGGTCACAACCTGGAATGAGCAGACTTTGCCAGAAAGAGAGAGCTGTTCCAATGATGTGACCTTCTGAAGGGGGATTACTGAGCAGGAAAGACAAGTGTAAGAATTGGTTGCTGGTGCTACATGGTGGCAGCTTTGACATTTTCTCTGGGTTTGAAAATCTTTACAGTTCTCACCATGTCTACTTGCCCTAATGCAATCTTTATAAAAAGAGGCAGTCTAGAGAACAGGACAGCCCAGCCTTATCCTGTAGTGGAGCATCTAGCCAGGATCTCAGTTTTCTAGAAGAGGAGTGTGCCATATGGTAAGGCAAGGCAGTGGAATGTAGGTTTGCCTTCCCAAGGGCAGAGGTTGGATTTTCCTAGCTTGTGTGACATAAATAGCAAGATCTGGTACTTACCCTCTTACCTCGGGATTGTCCCATGGTAGCTGTGGCTGTTTTGTTATTGCCTATTCCCTTAGTATTGAGAGTTTCTCCTGCATCCATGGCAGGGTCACCAGCTGGTGGAGACTTGGTTGGCATTTCTGATTTGCTGCAGGGACTAAACAGCGTTTTGACTGGCATACATGTGGCTATTGTCATTCTTTCTGCAACCCCCTGCTTCCTACCAGTTTTCTGTTGTCCTCTACCCTCTCTTTTTCAATTTCAACTTCACTCTCCTGTAGCTTTATAAACAGGGTGTGTGTGTGTGTGTGTGTGTGTGTGTGTGTGTGAGAGAGAGAGTGTGAGCCCCCGTCCCAGGCCAGGATTGTAAGTACCTGCCCTGGGGACTATTCCTTATACAACAAAATGTTAAATATTTTTTTCTTCCTCAGTAAACAGATGAAAATTGGTCTCAGTTGTCTCACTGCATTCCAGTATGTCATTTTTCTCTTTATATAAATGATTAGGCCAACATGTTTTACTGTTTTTTAATTATTAAGTGTTTTTGTACAAAAAGTGGTATATCATTCCTTTTTTCATTTCAAAACACAGGATATGGGAGAAGGATGCAAATAAAAAAGATGCTTTTATAACATTAGTTTTCCTATTCAGAAAGAAAAGAGAAAGCCCACAAAACCATTAATAGTACTGAAAAGTCCAAAGGTGAAAGAATGCCATTTTCTTCTCTAAAGGCTTATAAAAGGCCCCTGCCTATTGGTTCCATCCTTCTGGTGTCCAGTGGAGCCATGTTACTCTTTAGTGGCCCAGGGTTCACTATTATAGGAAGATCAGCCCGGGATTCTGGGTACATGGCCTACACAGAAAGACAGAAGTATCAGAGGATTAAAAACTTTTCCCACAGAAATGTGGGCAAGACATACTTCCCTGAGCCAGCAGCAGGGACAGGAGCTGCAACAGCATCTGCAGCCAGAAGAGTGGACTGCAGAGCCTGTGTGTCCCATTCCTGCTTCCATCTCCTTTCCAGAAGGCTGAGAGGAAAAAGCAAAACCACATGCCAGTGAAAAAGTGCAGTATGTGTTTGGAAATACTAGTGAGAGGGTAAGAACAGCTTTGCCAGCTTCTACTACAAACAGGAGAGAAACACCAAAAAGGAAATTCCACCGTAAAGTAAACATACTGCCTACTCCTGGAACCTTTGGAGCACAGGAGAGTGGTCGGAACTCTCTTGCCTAAGGACTGGATTATTGCGTTAGGCATTTTGGCTACAGACAGAGTGATGAACCACAAGACTGTACCCCAAGCCCCAATTCAGTTGCAGAGTCACCCATTACCCACAAGTGTGGTATCTTACAGTTCTGTAACTGGGAAGTTTCACATTTTTCCTATTGTAACCCCAAGTCTAGAACATCAGGCCCAGACCAAATGGAGTACTTGGATTCCAACCAAGTAATCACTGCAAAGCAGCTAGAAGTTACATACATCCAGATTCTCATGGAGACTACTGTAGAGTTCTAGCATGAACGCCATCAGGCCTGTATAAATAATGTTCCTTTGATTTTTTTTAATTAAATCCAGTGTCTCAAGAAATTATGATAGTGTGTTAAAAAAGAAACACAGGGCCGGTGACCCTTTTGCCCAAATTTCTTGTCTTGTACCTTCTGGTAACCGTAGTGCAGTAGCCTGTTTTCACAGGCCCTGCTTCCTGTATCTTCTAACTGTACCTCTAGAAAACAAAACCAGGAGCACAGGGAAGGCAGATAGAAGAGGATGCAAATGCAAAGCAAACTGGAAAGCAAGGTGCTACTAAAGGCCAGGTGAGATAAGGGGAGGAGATGTGTAAGAAACCTGGTTGAGTATGCTTTGGTCTGGGGGACAAGAGGCTGGACATTCAAAGCACAATCACATCGGTAATAAATGATCATCCCTTTCTTCTGACTCCTCCCCAAGCTGGTCATCTCCCACACCTCGGTAGGCAGCAGGCACACTGCGGGGCTTAGAACGGCATACAAAGTCACAACCATCCTGTAGGGGAAAACAGCAAAAAACAGTAATTGGGGATATTCCAGTTTAGGTTAGGACAAAGCTTATTTACGGTCTAAGAATCTGACAAGAACTTTTTCTCTAAGGACAATGAAGAGAAAACCTTTAAAATACAAGGATTAGTTTCAATTCAACTTAGAGGAAATAAAGTTCTTTCAAATTAGGCCTCATGACAGTTAATCTTGGTATGTCACTTGGATTGAGAAATGCCTAGCTGAGCTGAGCCTGCTCTTGGGTATGGTTAGGTGGGTCATGGAAGTGTGGCCTTGGATGGTCCTGTGCCTCGCACTGCTGCCCTGCTCTGCTCCCAGGGTGCCAGGAACCATGCAGCTTTGTTCCACCAGATGCTTCACCAGGAGGTTTCTGCCCTGGAGTCAGATGACTGGACCCAATCACCCCAAGACCTTCATTTTGTTTAAGCTGTGCTGGGTACTGTGTTCAGCCATAGCTTCTCACCTACCTCCCCACCCCACCCCCCACAACTGAACTGGGCTTGGGGGACACGATATAGACTACTAATTTTCCACCCACATCTAAGCAAGATCAGAAATGCTACACTGTATACACCAGGGTGACCAACTGTATTGCTTTGTTGGGACTTCTGGGGCATCAGTATTCATGTCTTTTGTCCCAGGAAACTCCTCTGACTAAACCAGATGACTGGTTACCTAGCCAGCGGCTTGTTACTTACTGCTACTAGGTTGCCAAGATCCTGCCAGAAGGCTAAGTGGGGAAACTGCTCCATTCCTTTGGCTCCTACCACTAGTCGCTGATACAAGAAACCCCCAATGATGTAGACAGCAACCAGTGATACAAATCTGGAGAGGGAAAAAGATAAGCATTGTTAAAAACTGAAGCCAGGTGTGCTGGATACGCCTGCAGCCTCAGCTACTTGGGAACTCGGGCGGAAAGATCACAAGTTTTAAGGCCAGTCTGGACATGAGAGCAACATCTTTGTCTCAAACAAAAACCAAACCAAATAACTACACCAAAACGAAATGAAAAACAAACCCAAACCCGAAAGAGCAACAAAAAAACTGAGAAGCAATGAAACTCGGATGATAGCCTCTAAAATCAATGCTGATTATACTATGAAAAAGGAACAAGGGAAAACAGGGAAGCTTCCTTAGAAAACCAGCTAAGATTTTTGTCAGGCTGACAGGAAAATTAAAAAAAATATATATGACAATTAGTTTTTTCAAATCCATTTTATTTCAGAGAAAAAAAATTTCAAAACATATCAATTGGGGCAACAATGGTACATACATTGTGTATTGTCATCCCCAAATATTTCACCCAGAGCACAAGACATCTTCATTCAATTGTCCAAACAATATTAGCACAAATAACTATCTTAACTATTTTTTATAAATACAGATATGCATACATATATGCATGTAGTTTCAGTTTCTCACACTAGTGAGAAAATAAAACATTTACAGTGTGTCTGATTTATTTTACTTACGAGTATGGTCTTTAGTTGCATCCATTTACCTACAAAGGTTTCTGGTTTATCCTTCTTTATGACTGAATAGTATTCCACTGTAGAAAAATACATCTTTTTTTTTTTTGGTCTTTTTGAGACAGTGTCTCACAGTGTAGTTCAGGCTGGCCTTAAGCTCACTTTGTAGCCTAGGTGAGTCTCAAACTCGCAATGATCCTCCTGCCTCAGCCTCCCGAGTGCTGGGATTACAGGTGTGAGCCACCATGCCTGACGAAAAATACCTTTTTTATCCATTCCTCAGTGGATGTGCATTGAGGTTTCCAAGACCTTCCTATTATAAACTGTGCTGCTATAAACATGGGGGCACAGACATCGCTGTGGTATGATGTTTTTAATTGTTCTGGGAAGATATCCTGAATAGTTGAGTCCTAGTGTTTTGAGGAATTGCCACACTGACTTCCAGAGTGGTTAGGCTGACAGAAATTAAGGTTTAGAAAAAAATGTGAACCAATGTGAATTTATCAGCTACAAATAATAGCCAGTAGATGTATGATTCCATTTCCACCATTCTAATAATCGAATGGGATATTCTTCAGAACTGCCCTGGGGGCAATTCTAAACGCAATTATTTATGTCGAATAAACATTACATCTGCAGGGCATGGTAGCATTTGCTTATAATCTTAGCACTTGGGAGATTGCCATGACTGCCATGACTTTAGGCCAGCTGGGGCTACCAGTGAGTTCAAGACCAGCCAGACCCTGCCTAAGAAAACAAACAAAACAAACCCCAGAAAATCAACATTAATTTCATGAAACCTGCAATCATTTTCAGTCAAATCTCTTGATTTAATGTAACACATGCACGCATCAACTGTGTCCATATGCCACAAAATAGTTACTGATTTTAAAAAGCTAAAGAAGGGCTTGTACTTAAGAGAAGAGTACTCACATGACAAGTAAGATAGAGCCCACACTGAGGTGGGAGACCTCTGGGGAACAGGCCAAACTGCTATCCATCTCAAAGAGGTAGAAACAATCCTGGACTTTACCTCGCTCCTCAGATACAGGATTAAAATTGTCCTGAGGATGAAAGGGCAGAATACAATGTTTATGTGGTAAAATATTTTCTTCCAACTTCAAAACAATAAAAGAAAAACCCAAAAAACATTTCTCTTGGCTCAGCAGTGGAAGATGGGTATCTGATACAGGGAAAAATGGTGCTAGTTTCCCACCACGTAATCTGTCCCTTCTGGATGTTCTTTCCCACTTCAGGTCAGCCCCTGTAATCTGTTTCCATGGCTTAGATACCCCCAGAGGGCTCACCGCAAGGGTGTGTCGATTGCAAGAGATCATCACCACTGCACGCCGCTGCTCCTTGCCACAGTGGTTGTCATATTCATCACCCCCTTTATAGATCAGCATGATCCAATTACCTGAGAAAGGACAAGGAAGACACTGGTATAGGGTGGAGGGGAAAGTGAGGCAGCTCTGGGTATGGCAGAGTGGAATGAAAGAATTAGATTGCAGGCCAGAAACACAAAGCTAAAACCTGCTCCTTTATCAATGTTTTGTGCAATCAGACATTTTTGGTTAAGAATAATGTTAACTTTTCACATTAATGGTAGACAATAATATAAATACAATTATGATCCATAGCTTAATACTGATTCACATTTTCCAACTATCTGGTCACAACAAAAGAAGTGGCTGAATATAATTGCTAGGCAGCAGGGAGAAACCTATCATTTTAAATTAGCCACAGATAAATTCAAAGTAGGTAATATTTTGAGACAGGACTACGCTTTAGTATTTACCATGTTTGAAGTTCTTTTGCCAATCAACAAAGTGAATTTGTATATCAAAGTCAAACTGAAAGATGCAATGATTTTTCAAAGTCACAGGCCTAGGAAATAGGCTAGAGTAAGAACCCACTCATCTGACCCCAGCCCTGAACTCTGAATAGTGTTTCAGTGAATTATCCACATGAGTAAAAACCTACACTGGGTAATATATGTGCTTTTGGGAGAGAGCTGGACTGTAAATGCCATGTAATCCTTTCCAGCAATATGATTTTATCATTTTTGAAAAACAACTCCACAATGATGAGAACTTCTTACAGATAGATTGGTTTGCAAAAAAGTTTCATTTCTTAACATCTAATTGGAAAGTGGTTCATGTGAAAAGAAGTATGGTGTTTGGGTGTAACTCATGAAGTACTTGGGTGAATAAAGAACTCCAGGTTTGGGGCTGGGGATTTAGCTCAGCGGCATAAGCGCCTGCTTGCAAGCAGGCAGTTGAGAGTTCGATCCCCGGTACCGATAAAAAACAAAAAGACAAAAAAAAAAAAAAAAAAAAAAAAAAAAAGAACTCCAGGTTATATATTCTGGCTAGATTTTGCATTTCCTGTGAATTTGTCAACTGTTGTCAAATGCTTATGTATCCTGAGATGTGGCTGCAGAGCACATGTGGACCTAGGTGTCTGAGGAATGTGACACACTAGAGACACTGGGAAAGGCCAAGCCATGCAAAACTGTCAGAGGACAGATGTGGAGTTAGTCAGGAGCAGTCTTACTTCCGTTGAAGACATGAGTCTCATTGAGCCTCCCCACCACTGTCTCTTTCCCATTGCTCTTGTTGATCTGCACCAGGCCTGCTCCAGCACTGTGGTTACTGGCTTCCCGGCACACCCGGAATATGTACATGTATGTGTCAGAGCCTTGGCCCACAGTGCTCTCAAAGCTGTCAAGAAAAACAAAAAGAGAGGAAGAGGAGAGTTACTAGTTATCAGCCTCAAGAAAACCTAGCTTCCCTCTCTTCCTTTGAAGATAACAAAAACAAAATATGCTTGACTTATTTATCTGATGTCATGGCTAAATGTAGATATTCATGACCATAATGATCTTAATTGTTGATAATGAGTAAGATGTATTCTCCAAAACAAAACATGTTGATTTGACAGTTGTAAAGCACTAAGATATGGAAATATCAAGCATAGCTTAAATTTCTACTGAGGTCCAGTCTTCTCTGAAAGGTAAGAGACACTGCTGCTAAAAACTGGGATGAGAATTTGTCTACAGCTTTGAGGACAGCAAGGCATCACTGCCGAATAAACAATACAGTAGACCCCTGACTTACAAACTGTATGTGATTGTGAGGGCTGACTGTAAAGTCAAGATTATTCTTCCTATAAGAAATGATGCAAATACTCATATGCATTCTGAACCTCCAAAAACACCTGACCTTTTCATTATACAAAACAGCTGTATGTGTGTAATTTACTAGAAACAGCAATAATTTTCCTAGTGTATTCACCAAAAAGTTATCAAATGCACCTAGTTTATCAGAATTCACCATTTAAGTTGACATCCTTGAGTTGCAGAAAGGGAGGATGAAATGGAAGGTGGTTTTTGTTTGGAAGGAGAGTCCCCTTCCATAAGAACATCAGTAATCTGGCTCTGGTGTCTTTTGTCTTCTTGTGTAGGAGTCTGTGTAGGACTTGCTTCTGGTTCACTACATCTCAAATTTTTCAGAGTTAACAACTTGTCTCAGACTGTCAATGTCTTACACTGTTTTACGCAAGTAAATGCAAGAAATAGCTTTTCCTATGGGTCAGTATTCTCCATAAATGTTTGTAGCTCTGTCCATTTTTTCAGGATTTCCTTTATTTCAGAATTTTGCTGCACTGATTATTGATACTCTCTCTCCTCTTCAGAGAGCTCTTCAGCTGCCATTCTCTGTTGCTCAGCTAGAAGTTGCTGAAGTTCCTCTGCAGATAATTTCTTTGAGTGTTCCTCCACATCACCATCTACCTGAAACCTATGGACTGTACTATAGTGACAATGTCATCAATCAAAGGGTCAACAGAATACTCAGGCTCCTCTATGCGGCCTTCAAAGTTTCTCTCCTGTATAATTTTAGGCCACAGTTTTTTTTCAGAGCTCAGCAACCTTAAGAGACTAGCCTAGGATTTTTCAATTAACCCCACACAGAAAAGGATGTTGTACCTTCCAGAACTCTTTAAGGGTTAAATCTGTATTCAACACCATTTGGAAGCATTTTAGGAACGGTTCCTGGTGTATGGCTTCTTAAAGTTAGCTATAGCCTGCCGGTCCATAGGCTGCAGTAATGGCATTGTAATAAGTGGGAGGAACTTTAGAGGGATGGGCATCTTCAGTCAATTCTTCCACATCTTGTGGATAACCAGGAGCACTGTCCATGATGAGGACACCCTTGAGTGGTAAAGCTTTGTCCTCTAGATATTTCTTAATGGTATGACAAGAAAACCTCCTTGATCCACTCAAAAAAAGTACTCGTTACCCATGGTTTTGCATTACAATGCCACATGACCTTCAGCATATTCTTTATGACTTTGTTTTTTCTGAACATTCTAGAGGTCTAAGAGTGATAAACTAGAAAAGACTTTATCTTGAGGTCATCACTTGCATTGGCACACAGTAATAACGTTAGCCTATCCTTCATGCCTGTGGCCTGGCATTTTCTTTTCTTCCTGGATTATGTTCTTGTAGCATTTTCTTCTAGGAAAGGCCAGTTTCATGGTAAGAGCAGAAGTTATTTCTCTGTGTCATCATTTCAAAGTGGTATATGTAATTTCTAGCATCCCTTTTATCAACCCTGGCTGCTTCACCATGCCTACTTTATAAACTCCAGTTCTTGCTTTAAAATTGGGAAACCACTCCTTATTGGCATGAAACGCTTCACTCATCACTTGAGGGTGGATTTTCTGTTATGAGATCTTCACAGGTAGCCCTAGCTTCCTCACAAATTAAGACTCAGATAGGCTATAACCTGTCTTTTGTTTATCCACACTAATACAATAATAGCCTTTCTACCTTATCTAACATTATTGATCATCATTACTAATATGAGTAACACCTTTAGCAACAATAGTTTCCTTATACAAATCTTTTCTCTGTAAGACTGTTGAGATGGATTTTGACATACTGTGCATATTAGCATGATTGGTCAAACAAATACCACTCTCTTATCTCTCCACAATTTCCTTCTTGTTTCAGTTGTGATTGGTTTCTTTACCTTCCCTTCCTTAGCTTCTTTTCCAGCTTTTTTGGGGCTTTTTTTTTTTTTTTTTGGTCTTTTTCGTTTTTATCGGTAGCAGGGATCAAACTCATGACTGCACACTTGCAAGGCAGGCGCTTATGCCGCTGAGCTAAATCTCCAGCCCCTTTTGGGGGCCATTTTGATAGCAATTAATTGTAGTGATTACATAAAGCACTGACAGAAATAATGTTCACAAACACACGTGTCTGACTCAGACTGATGCTTATGTATGCTTACATATACTTTTCTGAAATCGTAGTCTTTGTTGTATACCTGAATAAGCTACAGGGATTTGGGTTATAAATCAAGACTTTGGTTGTAAGCTAGCCCCAAAATTCTGGTTGTAACTTGAAGGTCCACTATTGTTTAGGAGATTAGAACACATCCCCAGAGAGGGTTACTATACATGTATTCCCTTCATATTAAACCGAAATGCAGTAAATAAAAAGAAGAAAAATTTTCTTCAATGAAGATAGTTTCTCAAAAAATAAAATAAAATAAAATATCAGTTTCTCAAATCCTTTAAAGTTCTTCTCATTTACCTTTTGTTAAATAATGGTTTCAGCCTTGTCAGTAGAGCTTGCTCATTCTTTGATTCTTTATCTTTTTCTCCCACCAAGTCACAAGATTTTTCTTCGGCCTGCAGGGATTGTTTCACTGCCACAGCCAGGAGAAGTAGTAGTAATAGTTCAGTCCTCCAGCAGTTATAGAAGGTGAACATCCTTCTGGATGGAAGTATGTGGTGGGAAGGGTAGGTGGGAGTAGGAAAGAAGAAAAGAAAGCACATGAATGTGTAATAAATGAATGGTATTTTGTTACTTGGAAAATATAATTCTTTTGGCACGTGCAACATATAGTACAGTTTAGTATCTCCGTGCCAAGAACACTTGTAGCAGAAAACCTATATCTGCAGCTTTTTTTTTTTTGGCATTTTTTGAGATGGGGTCTCACTATGCAGTTCAGGCTGGCCTTGAGCTCACTTTGTAGCCCAGGCTGGTCTCGAACTTGCAATGATCCTTTCACCTCCCACCTCAGCCTCCCGAGTGGGGGATTACAGGTGTGAACCCAGCTTATATGCAACTTTTAGTTTGATTTATAGATGAATTCTTCAAAACAAACTATGAGAGTGAGAAGAAGGAAAGGAGAAAGAACAAAAACTACTTAAATATAATAACCTGTGTGCAACTATACTTATCTCTTTACTGTCTGGTGAAAAGTTAGTTGCCAAATCTTATTATTCAAAGTTTTTTTTTTAAAAATTAAGTTTATTGGTACATTATAGTATACATTTTTTTTTTTGTCTTTTTCTTTTTTTTTTTTTTATCGGTACCAGTGATCGAATTCATGACTGCCTGCTTGCAAGGCAGGCGCTTATGCCGCTGAGCTAAACCACCAGCCCCTATTGGTACATTATAGATATATATAATAATCACATTCAGTATAGGGAATATGTAATTGTACATGACATAACTTGATGTTTCCTCATTTCCTTACCCTCCCTTCAATCCCTCTTCCCTTATTTTTTAAAAATTTCTTTTCATAGAAAATGATTTTTATTGGCACATTTGAGGTACATGTAATGATCACATTCATCATGGGGAATTGCACCTGCACATGATATAACTTGATTTTTTTTTCCTCATTCTCTTACCCTCCCTTCAACCTCACGTCCCATCCCCTTATTTACAAAAGTTTTGTTTCCATTTCTTTCCCTTCTTTCCTTTACCCTTCCCTCTCCCTAGCTTCCTTTCTCATTTGAACTTTTTTTTCCCTGTTTCCCAGTATCTATTAAACACTTCGGTCCTTATTTACACTTTGGGTTTTTCACACCAGAGAAACAATGCAGTATTTGCATGAGTGTCTGATTTAATTCACTTAAGAGTATTGTCTATAGGTGCATCTATTTAGCTAGAATGATTATTCAAATTTTAACACCAGTTCACAAAGTTTAGTTCAGTGGCTTTTCCTAAGAAAACAATCAAACTATAATTTCAATAGACTTTTGAATATGTCTAGTTGAATATATCTAGTTGGAAGTTACTAAAAAAGATGTAAACTATAGAAATATGAATTTTTGGCCCTAATTCTCATATCAATATTCAAGAGTATCTAATGATCTTTGTTTATATTCACCCCAAGAATGCTGAATAGAGGTAAATCACTCTCGTGCCTAAAACATGACATTTATCTACTATGATGTTTCATCTCTGAAAAATTATTCAACTAAGTTATAGGAAAAAGTTCACTTGGTCAAAATGAGTGATTTGAGAAAGGCTTCCAAAACCCACCTTAGCTTCTACAAGTCACAAATCTCAAGGGCTTCTCAGTTTCTAGTAGGTACAATTACTTTTTTAAATTAAGCTTATTGGTACAAGTTAGATATACATAATATCACATTTATCATAGGGAACTTGACGTACAACTGTCTTTATATGCTCCAAATTGATGACAACTCTGGGTTGACCTACTCCTTGGACAACTCTAGGAGTGGAGAGTCATGGCTGTTTCTCAAACTTACTTTCTTTTCTGAATCCCATTTTCAGAACTCAGAACATAATGATTTATTCTTGCAAAAAACTTTCACTCAGGTATTAATAATCCTCCAGTCCACAACTATTTGTTAATTTCATAACAATATCACTAATCTTTCTGATGCAAAGTTTAATTCTTCCAAAATTTTTTTCTGAAGACAGGAAAAACAGAAATTTTCATTGAGCCCTGAATACTTTGCCTTTCCCGCATACAAGTTTATTTTTTATCAGACCTATTTTTCTACACTTGATTATAGCAACAAATGCCTGAGAAATTATGACTTCATGTACCCCAAGCATCAGCTCACTACAATTATACTAATAAAGCATTTCCAAAGAATAATCACAATTAGCCAAGAAATTAAAGACCCCATGATGCACTTCAAGCATCAAAACCGCAGAAGTAGAAACATTTAAGAGTGACAACTTTCAGTCAGGTACTGTTTAAAGCACTTAACATATATTAACTAATTAATCCTCAAAACAATCTCATGCAGTAAATACAATTATTGACCTTTTTTTAATGGCTAAGAATACAGGTACAACTATGGGTGTAAGCCTGGCACTTTGCCTCCACAGCTTGTGGTCCATTCTTAACCATTACATGCTTATCTTCTTTCATCTTATTTTCTGGAGTATGAGAATATGTACCCAAAGTTGTGGTGTCCCAACTTTTTTTTTGGTTTGATTTTTGAGATAGGGTCTCACTATGTAGTTCAGGATGGCCTTCAACTCACTATGTAGCCCAGGCTGGCCTCAAACTTGCAGCAGTCCTTCTGCCTTAGCTTCCTGAGTGCTGGGATTACAGGCATGCACCACTATGCCTAGTTCTCCACTTTTTTCTTTTTTCTGAAAAAGCAAGGAGGGGAAGTGACTCTTCACACAGTTGAGTGAATAGGAGGTGGAATAAAGAACTCAGAGCTGAAACTTCCATGTTCCCTATATTGACTTGCTATTCAATAAACAACTTGAGTAGCTGATTCACTACAAAGAATAAGAAATTTCTTTTATTGGACTAATTTTCGCATGCCAGTTCTCAGAACCTAATTTAAAACGTTAATTTTTTGGATTTTCAAGACCTCTCCTCCCCAAGAAGCAGTTTCTGGTATGCTCACACAGAATGCTATGCTCTTTGGCTTCAAAGTTAGCTCTTTGTATTTGTTAATGGTTGATTTTTTTTCCTCTCCTAAATTAGCACAAAGAGTCAAAAAATGGGAGGGGACACAGAAGGAAATACTGTGTAGTCACCATCAGCTGAGTTGAACTAGCTTTCATTTGCTTAGTGGTTAGATGGTGCTTTAAACACTTTACTTAAATTATGTGTGTTAATCTTCACAACCCAGAAAGTGGGCATTACTTTTCCTACTGTAAAGGTAAGAATAATGATCCTTATAGTTACTTAAGACGTTAAGTTACTCGCCCTAGGTTATACAAATTACAACATGTAAGCAGTTATATTCCGACAATTTGAATGATTCATAGCAAAAGATACCTGCTGAAAAACTGATAAGCACAGGAGTATAATTAGGAAGATTATACTAATGAAATCAAAGGGATGGGTAATTCCTTTTTAATACACTACAATTAGATTCTCAAGGCATATACTTTTGGGAACAAAGTTGCGAGATTTTATAATAGTGAAAAAGCCTCACTCGAGTTTTTTGTTCTCCAGACACATTTGTTTGGCAATGCTTAAAAAAAAAAGTTCTCCCTTATTGAGATGTCTGTGACTAAGGGAGGCATTGGGAAGCAGCTTACATCTCTGGACCTCTGCAGCACTCACTTCCCCACCCCTCCAGACTGGTGGCCATTTTCCATCTTTTAGTGGAATTTCCACTTTCTTCTCGCTGTTCATTTCTGATTCCTTATCCTTTTTCTCCAGAAACCTGCCCTTTCAAAAGAGCAGCTCCACTTGGCTAAAATGCCCAAAGTTGAAAGAGAAAGAGAAAGAGCCTCAGATTAATTCTGCGACCCCAAAGCGGAAGCTCCCTACGAGGAACACGAGTTAATCCCTGTGAGTTACTTTTCTCCACACCAACATTACCCTCAGAACTCTTTCAGGATATTGGAAATTTTCACTTTCTAACTGCCTGAAGTTACATCTTATCTAAACGATGTCGCTAAATCTCATTTCACGATGCAGCATCAAGTCTTTTAACAACTATGCAGTACCCCAAAGGGGCTTCCACACCAGGGACCTTCCGTTCCCTGCCTACTCGTTGTCGCACAGCTGCTCTCTGGCTCTGGAGGTTCTCTGGCCTCAGCACTTCAGGTATCTGACTGCCGCCCTCAGCCCACCGGCTCCTGTCACAGACACCGAGCAGCGGAGCGCGCCCTGCCCACCGTCGCCTCCACGCCCCTCAGACTCACGTGTCGCGGGCAAACAGAGAAGGAAAGGCAGAACTCCCAGGCGAATGTCCTTCTGAGAGCCGGAGCCTGGACCACCAGCGACCAGCCGCAGACCCCAGTCCCACAGCTCGTGTCACAGGCCGGCGATCTCTCAGGCGCTTGGCTGTGCCAGACTCCGGGAACCGGAAACAGGAAGCGCGACCGGCCGGTGAGCGCTCCTCCCACCAGACCCCGCGGCAGGTGACCGCGCAGCCCTCGCTCCGCGTTCTCTGCCGGGGCTCCCCGACCACTTTAGACACCGATTGGCCAGGGTGCCTATGCGTTTCGCTCCGCCTCTGCCCATCAACTCCAGTCACTACGGAGATGGTCAAGTTTAGTTCTTTCTCATCTGATCACTTTCATACCAATGGAACCCACGGTCCTGCCCCACAGGGTTCCGGGCTCGCGCGCCTCAGCCCCACAGGGTCACGCGCCAGTTCCGCTTCTGATTGGAGAGTGAAAGGTTGGGGGTGGCGTTGGGCGGGCGGGGGGGAGGGGCGGACGACGAAAGCGGAAATGCGGCTTCTCTGGGAGTTGTAGTTTTCACTGATGAGCGACCCGCGTGTGCACAGGTCCTTTGCTGCCTGTGGGAGACGCTGTTAAGTCAGTCTGTGGCAGTTTGTCTTAAGTGGGTACCTGGAAAGACATGAAGTGACGGGAGTCGATGGAATCCTGTAATTCTTAACGACACTCGTGTTCATTATTTTCTTTTAATAGTATGCTGCCGTGGGGATGTGTTGTCGCTGTTATCGTGACCTCCCGTCTTGTGGCATTTCGCTTGCTAAACATGCTTTGCAAACGCGTCTGTTTTCCAGAGGTTTTTCCTGCACTCCTGGCTCGCTTCATCCCGTCGGCATTTCTGGTGTTTTGGGGGAACAAGCAATACTTCGGTTCCTTCGGTAAGATCGTTGGCATTCTCTTGGGTCTTGTGCCTCTGTTGAAGTCCTGTTGACCTCGTTTCAAATCCTACTGCTGCTATAACTTCCTGGATCCACTTTGTAAAAGTAATCAGTCCTTCCTCGGAACACTCGCTTTCCGCTCTCTTGTTTCTTTGCCTGGCTTTAGCTTGTTTTTATTTTGCTGTGGCTTTTATTCTTATCCGTGTGACTCGCTCTGTCTTTACGTTAATAGGGACTATTTTCTTGACCCTCTCTTCGTTAGAGCTAATGCAGTGCTTGGAATCTAATCATAATGATAACAGAAGTGATGCCTGGCACTTTGACTTGTGTGGAAGTGCTATGAAATTGGTATTACTTTTCTTAATCTTCGCACCAGCTTTTCGAGGAAGAATGCTATCCAATTATACAGATGAATAAAGCAGATACAGGCTACGTATGTAAGTTAGGCTACAGCTATTGAATATTATTGACAGTATTGGAAATTTAGGCAGATGAAACCAGGCTCTGAAGCACTGGACCGTACTGACCGTGTCATTTACATTTGTTTATTAATTGATACATTTAGTTTGGTCTAGGTAGACGTTATATCTGGGTTGGATGAGTGAAAAAATCACAATATTTTCTTTTTAATAAAAGTAATTTTAGATAGAAAACACAACAGCAAAACAAAAATCATATACATATTCATCAAAAACTCATGTACTTTCTTCATGAGTTACTTCATGTTATTTCCTTTAAAAGATTTTTTTTTTTTTAATGTGTGGTGGTGCAACATTCTAGGAAGCAGAAAGATGGCAAATTCAAATTGAACCCAGCCGGGGGCAGCTTACGATTTAGCCATACTCTGTCTCAAAAAAATTCTGGAGATATAGTTCAGTATGAAGGCTCTGTGAACAATTGCCAGTGCTGGAAAACAAACCAACCAACCACAAAAAACAAAACACTTAAAAAATAATGTCAAATATTTTTCCATATGATTAACTTTACAAATGAGCTTTTTCTTTTGTTATTAGCACCAGGGATTGAACCCTAAGCCTAGGGCATACTGGACACTCTATAACCGAACTATTATCCTCTCCCCCAATAAACCTTTAAACAGTTTCGTGATCCATAGCTTTGAGGATTGCTACCAAATCAATGCCACTGTTACAGGCATTTACATTATTTCTGTTCTGCTTTTATCAATTCATTCAACAAACATTTACTAAGCAATTACTATGTGCCAAACATCACTATAAATTTTTTTTTAACTTCTTATCGGTACCACGGATCAAACTCACGACCGCCTGCTTGCAAGGCAGGTGCTTATGCCGCTGAGCTAAATCCCTAGCCCCCCGAACATCACTATAAATTTTGAGAGTAAGTCAGGCAAGGTGGCCTGTGCCAGCTTTCTGAGAGGCAGAGGCAAGGAGGATTGCAAGTGTGAGCCCTGTGTAGGTTACTTGGCAACTCAGTGAGACCCTGTCTCAAAATAAAATACTGGAGATGTATCTCAGTGCAAAGGCCCTGAGTTTAGTCCCTAGTATAAAAAGAGAAAAAAATTGTTTTCTGAGGATAGAGAACAGAGACAAATTCCCTGTTACAGTGAACTTTCATTTTAGAATTGATGTTCATTTGGGGTAAATTCTAATGTAGATGAATCCAAATTTGTCTTCTGAGGCCAGGTTTGGTGGTGCACCCCTTATAATCCCAGCACTTGGGAGGCCAAGGCAGGAGGATCACTTCGAGTTTGAGACCAGTCTGAACTTCATAGTGAAACTCTCTCTCAAAAAGACAACCAGATCCAACCAATTGGCCTTCTGTTGGAGTAGAGGCAGAGATGGGATTCCTTCCCCAAAGGTTATAAATAACCTGGGTTACTTCTCTGTGTCTAGTGCCTCTGTAGCCATTTTAGGTGCTTTTCATGTTTGAACTTCTACCTCAAAACATAGATTAGGGTTCTTGAGCTAAGCAAAACTTGTCGACTGTGAGCAGAAAGCCTTGTTGGAGTGGGTTTATTCAACCTCCTGACACCCTCTTTCTTTTTAATTTTTTTTTGGGGGGCGAGATCTGAGACTGACCTGACACCCTTCTTTGTGTCAACAGAGTTTACTCAGGTTTCACTGTTAAAACACATCCTTCCTGCTTACAGTTTCTGGATCTCCTCAAGAGTCTTTTGGAATTTATTTGATAGTTTCTCAGTCCTGATATGCATGTATTTGATTTGCCATCTTGAGCCAGATTTCAATTGGGAATTATTTTATTGATACCTTTCAAAATGACTATGTTTGACATATTTCAAGAATAAATTTTTTTTGGTTTTTGGTAACTTTCAGTTATACTATAATTTAATACTTATTTAATGAAAGATGCAAAAATAATGAGAAGATATCTTGTGTGTACTTTACCTAGATTCATTGATTGTTTATGTCACCCCATTTAGCTTATTCTCTTGTTCCCTCTTTGCCTCCTTTCACATTTGTTTATTTTGAGCAATTTAAAAGTTTCTCATCAAGTTGTAATTCCTAAGAACAACGACATTCTCTTTTTTTTTTTTTTAAGTTTTTTTTTTTGGCTTTTTTTCATTTTTATCGGTACCAGGGATCGAACTCACAACTGCCTGCTTTCAAGGCAGGTGCTTATGCCGCTGAGCTAAATCCCCAGCCCCACAATGACATTCTCTTACATCAGCATTGTATAGTTATCAAAATTAGGAACTGTAACACTGATACACTATTATTACGTAGTCTACAGTCCAGTATCAAAGTTTTATCAATTTTTCTAATAAATGCTTTTTATAATAACTTCCCCTTCCTTAAACACAGGAGCCAAGTCAGAGTTTCAGAATGTACTTTATTGTTCATCTTTACTTGACCTTGAAATTTTGAAGACTACAGGCCACTTATTTTGTAGAATTTTTCCTCACTTTTTAGATTTGTTTTTTGTTTCCTTTTCACAGGAAAAATTTAACATAAAGAATTGTTTTCAGCTGGTCATGGCAGCACATGTCTGTAATCCCTGAGCTCTGAGCTCTGAGCTCTGAGCTCTGAGTAATTTAGTGACTTTAAGAGGCCCTATCTCAAAAAATTTTTAAAAAGTACTGGGGATGCAGCTTGGCACCAAGGTTCTGGTTCAATCTCCAGTATGACAAAAAAAATTGTGTTTAGTAAGAGACAATCAATATAAAAGAGATAATAGCACTCATGTAGGGAGTCATTAAAGCTGGAGATTGATCATGTGTGAGGCTAAAGCAAGGCCAGCCCTAAAAACATAGTGAGCCCCAAATAAGCTACAAAAACAAGTTGTTCCAGCTCTAAAAAGGCATGGGACCCAGGCCAGCCAGGCAAACAGGTTGCTTAGCAGTGGGGTTGAAATTGACATTCTTCTTGGGAGTGTATAAATAAATATGCTACAGTGGTTGGCAGTTCCTTCTCTCCCATCAGGAGAGTAAGGGCTCCACCTGACCCTAGCTTTTGTCTCTTCTGTATTGTCTCATCGTCTTGAGGTCCTTCACCCCAAGAACCTCAAGAGCCACATGATCACGATTGATTCATACAGAGGTAGCAAATATAGAGCAGTTATTACCTCTAAGGCTGAAGAATTATTAAGGAAGTGCCTTAAAAACTTAAAGGAAATGCTCTTTACCCCAACCACAAGGTCAGAGCAAACCTCTGAGGAGAGGGTGTGGTTCCTGTCACCAAAACATGCAAACCCACTGAGGAGGTCAGAAGTTGCTTTGGAGGTGTGGGCCACTACTGAACGGCCCTTGGCAGCCTCTTTATGTTGGATTCTTCATCCTTTTGAGTATCCACCAGACACATAAGATGTTCTGTGTTTATTCTGTACTTTTCAACATGGATGAAGCTGGAGGGCATTATGTTAAGTGATATAAGTCAGACACAGACAAACACTGCACGATCTCATTCGTATATGAGATTTTGAAGATCAAGCTAAAAAAAATTACACAGTGAAAAGGCGGTTACCCAGGACGGGCAGAGGAAATGAGAGGATGTAGGTCAAGGGCACAAAGCTGAAGTTCTATAGGATGAAGAAGTCTAGGTTATAATGCCCACTGGCTTATAGTTTATATTGTATACTGGTAATTTATTGTGAGAGTAGATTTTAGGTCCTCTTACCATGAGAGAAAGAGAGAGGACTATAACTTGAGATGATAACAATGTTAATTTGCCTGATTATAGTAATAAGTAGCATATATATATATATATATATATATATATATATCAAAACATATATACCTTAAGTGTATACAACAGAAAATTTATTAAAATACAATTTTGTACCCTAGAATCAGGCGTTTTTCCAAGGAGTTTGGTGGAAAATTGAATTGAGAAGCCAATACCTTATTATACGTTGTGTTATTGCTTTAATTCCTCTCAGCAGAGCTAGCAAATCATATGTCCAAGTGACCACTCAGGTTCCTGTTATAGTTAATATACGTGCTGTATACATTTGTTCACACAAAAGAAAATACAGTAAGTAGTTTCATAACTGATAAGTGATAGCACTGTGTAAAGCAAGCTTACTAATTAATGTTTCATATTTGTTTAAAGTCTCATGCTTGGTTGCTGAGGTAAAATTTTTTTGAAATAAGATATAAGGAAATGAACTTACTTTAGTGTATGTGCTGCTAAAGCAAGCACAGGAAATGAATTTAATAGCATTAAATTTTTTGTAATTTCACTATGAATAAAATTAAGTCAGTTTAGAAAAGTAACAGAGTTAATAATAACAGTCAAAGAAATAGTAGACAATGCTTTCTGGGGTTTCTCATCTAATCAGGGACAGAATAAACTCTCAAGAAACAGTGATATAATCAAATAATTGTTTCCAACCAATTCAGCCTGCTTATGCATTCTCCAAAGCCTTTTCTGCAACATTTCCTTTTGTGTGTAGACAAAACAATTCAGAAAGAAGTGTAAGTGAGAAAGAATATGGAATTTACTCTTTTCTATTCAGTCCAGACATCTGTAACAGACAGACATAACCACCATGGTAGTTAC